GTAGCAAATGTAAAGATACCATATAATTTGAGGTAGATGGAATGAGAGGTCTTGGGTTCAAGCTCGTTTTGCTTTGTCGTTGTGGCCGAAGAGACATAAATTCGGGACCGTTAATTCAAACTGGTTATGAAATAAATCGTAGAATTGTTTTTGTTATGCGTCTGCTGGGCATTGGGAGGCAAGGAATAAATTTATTTTGCAATTTTATGGATATATGCGACGGTTTGAGTAATAGTGCATACAATAATATTGTTAAACACCAGTATTTAGCCACCAAATCGGTGTTCGAATATTTCAGCGGAAAAGCTGTTGAAGAAGAAAAGAAAGAAAATGAAAGGCAAGAAAGGTCAATCTTGAATTTAAAAGTATCTGGTGATGGTTCTTGGAAAAAGCGCGGATTCAAATCATTATACGGCGTAACATCGCTTATTGGGTACTATTCTGGTAAAGTTATCGATGTAGCTGTAAAAAGCAGTTATTGTCAAGCCTGTACATTTTATAAAAATAAAGAAAATACAGAAGAATATATTGACTGGTATGAAGAACACAAAGAAAATTGCATGAAAACTCACGAAGGGTCTGCCGGTAAAATGGAAGTCAATGCAATTGTAGAGATGTTTTTGAGATCCGAAGTAAAGTTTGGTGTAAAATACGGCAACTATATAGGGAACGGAGATTCCAAAACGTTCAAAGCAATTTTAGAACAAAACCCATATGGCGACGATTTTCCAGTAATTAAAAATGAATGTATTGGACATGTTGAAAAGANTTTGATTCTGAATTTAATTTTTGGTAAAAATTTGATATAAAATCGTTAATAAATCGTAAAATGAGCCTTACTTCCGGTTTAACAGGAAGTTGGTTAATTTTAATCCGAATTAAGTGGAATTTGGGCTCAAATGAAACGATTTTTAATTTTTAAATCGATTTAAAACGATTAATTCGATAAATTAAAGAAATTATTATTAAAAATTTAATTTAAAATCGTTAATAAATCGTAAAAAAACCTTTACTTCCGGTCTAACCGGAAGTCAGTTAATTTTAATCCGAATTAAGTCGAATTTGGGGTCAAATGAAACGATTTAAAACGATTTATTCGATAAATTAAAGAAATTATTATTAAAAATTCACTTTAAAATCGTTAATAAATCGTAAAAAAAGCTTTACTTCCGGTTTAACCGGAAGTTGATTAATTTTAATCCGAATTTAGTCGAGTTTGAGCTCAAATGAAACGATTTTTGATTCTGAATTTAATTTTTGGTAAAAATTTGATATAAAATCGCTAATAAATCGTAAAATGAGCCTTACTTCCGGTTTAACAGGAAGTTGGTTCATTTTAATCCGAATTAAGTGGAATTTGGCTCAAATGAAACGATTTTTAATTTTTAAATCGATTAATTCGATAAATTAAACAAATTATTATTAAAAATTCAATTTAAAATCGTTAATAAATCGTAAAAAAAGCTTTACTTCCGGTTTAACCGGAAGTTGATTAATTTTAATCCGAATTTAGGCGAGTTTGGGCTCAAATGAAACGATTTTTGATTCTGAATTTAATTTTAACGATTAATTTGAATTATTATTCCGTTACTTCCGGTTTAACTAGATGTTGGTTAATTTTAATCCGAATTAAGTCGAATTTGGGTTCGAATGAAAGGATTTTTAATTTTTAAATCGATATAAAACGATTAATTCGATAGATTACAGAAATTTTTATTAAAAGTTTGATATAAAATCGTTAATAAATCGTAAAATGAGTCTTACTTCCGGTTTAACAGGAAGGAAGTTGGTTAATTTTAATCCGAATTAAGTGGAATTTGGGCTCAAATGAAACGATTTTTAATTTTTAAATCGGTTTAAAACGATTAATTCGATAAATTGAAGAAATTATTGTTAAAAATTTGATATAAAATCGTTAATAAATCGTAAAATGACCCTTACTTCCGGTTTAACAGGAAGTTGGCTAATTTTAATCCGAATTAAGTGGAATTTGGGCTCAAATGAAACGATTTTTAATCTTTAAAACGATTAATTCGATAAATTAGAGAAATTATTATTAAAAATTCAATTTAAAATCGTTAATAAATCGTAAAAAAATGAATTACTTCCGATTTTGGAAGTACTTCAACTTCGAAGTTGAGCTCCAATGAAAGGATTTTTAATTTTTAAATCGATTTAAAACGATTAATTCGATAGATTACAGAAATTTTTATTAAAAGTTTGATATAAAATCGTTAATAAATCGTAAAATGAGCCTTACTTCCGGTTTAACAGGAAGTTGGTTAATTTTAATCCGAATTAAGTGGAATTTGGACTCAAATTAAACGATTTTTAATTTTTAAATCGATTTAAAACGATTAATTCGATAAATTGAAGAAATTATTATTAAAAATTCGATATAAAATCGTGAATAAATCGTAAGAAAGGAATTACTTCCGGTTTAACCGGAAGTTGATTAATTTTAATCCGAATTAAGTCGAGTTTAGGCTCAAATGAAACGATTTTTGATTCTAAATTTAATTTTAATGATTAATTTGAATTATTATTCCGTTGCTTTCGGTTTAATCAGATGTTGGCTAATTTTAAGTCGAATTTGAGCTCGAATGAAACGATTTTTTATTTTTAAATCGATTTAAAACGATTTATTCGATAAATTAAAGAAATTATTATTAAAAATTTAATTTAAAATCGTTAATAAATCGTAAAAAAAGCTTTACTTCCGGTTTAACCGGAAGTCGGTTAATTTTAATCCGAATTAAGTCGAGTTTGGGCTCAAATGAAACGATTTTTGATTCTAAATTTAATTTTAACGATTCATTTGAATTATTATTCCGTTACTTTCGGTTTAACCGGAAGTTGATTAATTTTACTCCGAATTAAGTCGAATTTGGGCTTAAATAAAACGATTTTTAATTTTTAAATCGATTTAAAACGATTGATTCGATAGATTAAAGAAATTTTTATTAAAAATTTGATGTAAAATCGTAAAATACCCTTTACTTCCGGTCTAATCGGAAGTTGATTAATTTTAATCCGAATTAAATCGAATTTTGGCTCAAACAAAACAAAATTTTTGATTCTGAATGAGNTATTATTAAAAATTCACTTTAAAATCGTTAATAAATCGTAACAAAAGCTTTACTTCCGGTTTAACCGGATGTTGATTAATTTTAATCCGAATTTAGACGAGTTTGGGCTCAATTGAAACGATTTTTGATTCTGAATTTAATTTTTGGTAAAAATTTGATATAAAATCGCTAATAAATCGTAAAATGACCCTTACTTCCGGTTTAACAGGAAGTTGGTTAATTTTAATCCGAATTAAGTGGAATTTGGGCTCAAATGAAACGGTTTTTAATTTTTAAATCGATTTAAAACGATTAATTCGATAAATTAAAGAAATTATTATTAAAAATTCACTTTAAAATCGTTAATAAATCGTAACAAAAGCTTTACTTCCGGTTTAACCGGATGTTGATTAATTTTAATCCGAATTTAGACGAGTTTGGGCTCAATTGAAACGATTTTTGATTCTGAATTTAATTTTTGGTAAAAATTTTATATAAAATCGTTAATAAATCGTAAAATGAGCCTTACTTCCGGTTTAACAGGAAGTTGGTTCATTTTAATCCGAATTAAGTCGAATATGGGCTCAAATGAAACGATTTAAAACGATTTATTCGATAAATTAAAGAAATTATTATTAAAAATTCGATTTAAAATCGTGAATAAATCGTAAAAAAAGCTTTACTTCCGGTTTAACCGGATGTTGATTAATTTTAATCCGAATTTAGGCGAGTTTGAGCTCAAATGAAACGATTTAAAACGATTTATTCGATAAATTAAAGAAATTATTATTAAAAATTCACTTTAAAATCGTTAACAAATCGTAAAAAAAGCCTTACTTCCGGTTTAACCGGAAGTTGATTAATTTTAATCCGAATTTAGGCGAGTTTGGGCTCAAATGAAACGATTTTTGGTTCTGAATTTAATTTTTGGTAAAAATTTAATATAAAATCGTTAATAAATCGTAAAATGAGCCTTACTTCCGGTTTAACAGGAAGTTGGTTCATTTTAATCCGAATTAAGTGGAATTTGGGCTCAAATGAAACGGTTTTTAATTTTTAAATCGATTTAAAACGATTAATTTGATAAATTAAAGAAATTATTATTAAAAATTCAATTTAAAATCGTTAATAAATCGTAAAAAAAGCCTTACTTCCGGTTTAACCGGATGTTGATTAATTTTAATCCGAATTTAGGCGAGTTTGGGCTCAAATGAAACGATTTTTGATTTTTAAATCGATTTAAAACGATTGATTCAATAGATTAAAGAAATTTTTATTAAAAATTTGATATAAAATCGTAAAAAACCTTTACTTCCGGTCTAATCGGAAGTTGATTAATTTTAATCCGAATTAAATCGAATTTTGGCTCAAACAAAACGAAATTTTTGATTCTGAATGAGGTTTAAATGAGTTAATTTTAAAGATTCTAATTTTGACAGATTTAGGTTAAGTTAAACTTAAACTTTCTTTAACCTTAACCTGTATTTACAATTTCTTTTTTAAAGTTTTTTTATTTTTTTTTTCTAGCTTATTACAAGCGTTACAATCTGGAGATGCATTTAAAAATCGTCAAAAACGTCAAAGAAACGCTCGGCCAGCTGGAGGTGAGTTCTTAAAATTAAGTAGGGGGCGGTCAAGTAAATTTTTATTAAACAGATGGAAAGATGTACTAAATCTGAACAATGTACATCATAATGTCTATGATTTTAAAGTTTATTGTAGAATGTTTTTGATGTTGAAGAAATTTAGAGTGGCGGCATCACTTGAAAGCTGTCAAATGCCTATATTTAATTTAATGCCTGTATTTTATCGTAATTCAGCGTTATTAGTAGGAGACAGGTTATTATTATCGTTGCAATGCAAATTTGATAAAATCTTATCAAATCTATCTCGAGACATAGTGTTTGTTGTCAAGGGAATTCCTAAATCATTACTAGATGACCAATACTGGTTCCAAGAAGATAACTTATGATAGCCTATTAACTGATTTATACCCATAAATGTATAAAACTCTTCTTTTGTAAGTTTAAGAATTCTGTTCCTTTGGATAGCGTATAAATTCGACTGGTAAACTATAGTTTCGGCAACAGGCCTAAGGAATATCAAGAAAACATCTATTGCTGAATTACAGTGTGAAAAATGTTAGTGAACAAGACTTTCTTCTAAATTGTATTCAAATAATTCGAAACTAAAACCTTTCTCATGTTTTTTTGCTGTTTTCATTTTATTCACTGAATCGACATTCCTTCGAATAACCAGGCCATAATAATTTGTTAACTTTTTTATAAGAGCATCCATAAGTTTCCCTTTTGTCTCCAAGTTTTGCAGTTTTTTGTAAGTTATAGAGCAATAGCCTTGAAAGTTTTGGTGGCGTCGCTGTCAATACGTAATTACTGTATAGCACTCCATAACGTTCCTCACATCTTTGAAATATTTCAAACATACCATCGATTTTCATCTTGCCCGAAGAGCCATGATGATTTATTGGGCAATTTTCTTGGTGCTTTACGTATGCCATATCGTTCGAGTCTCTTTGTTTATAATACGTGTGTCCTTGACAGTGTGATTTCTGTTCCTGTGTACGATACGATTTCCCCCCTCCACTCGTTCTGATTAAAAGAACAGCATACTGTTCAGTGGGAAATTAAAATTTCAAGTTAGAAAAAAATTGTGTTAACAAAAATTGTTCCTGAAACAATTCTAAACAAACTTTGTCAGCATTTTTTTTGATTTAATCAATAATTAAGGAGATAACCTCAAAATATTAATTTTTCCGTTTTTATACATAATTACACTTAGATGCTTAATTAATAGAGATGTAAAATTTTTTTATTAAGATAATTGATTCAAAATCGAAATTGAAACAAATTTTATTTAAAACATTTTTTGATAAAAACAGCAATTATTGAGATAATTAATTTTGATGGCATACTATTCAGAGGGAATTTAAAATTTCAACTTAGCAAAAAATTGTATTAACAAACACTGTTCCTGAAGTAAATCTAAACAAATTTTGTTAAAAACATTTTTTGATTAAATCAACAATAAGGATATAACCTCAAAAATATTAATTTTTGTAGCATACTATTCAGTGGGAAATTAAAATTTCAAGTTAG